ACGCACCCGGCTGCTTCAGGCTGACAGCACAGTGACTGTCCCGGTGATAGGGCCACTGTGATGTTACTGACATGAACTGGGACCATATAGATCATGGTTGCAACCAAGGTCCTGTAGTGGCACCAAATCTTGTATAAAGGGGATCAAATCAGGTGTCTATGACAAAGTTATGGTTTGCTGGCTATGATTATGCTATCTGGATGCACGGATCATTTTTGTATTTAAAGTTATGAGTATTGGCTCTGTACTGTCTGTATGGCAAACTTGTGCTGTGCTTCTGGGTGACACCCCAGACAATTTGGCATCAGCTCTGCCTAGCCTGCTTGATGGCCCATTAAGGACCATCAGCTACAACTGACCCACTGAGAGAAGCAGATACACCTGGTGACTCAGCAAGGCAGGGACCTGCCTAGGGACAGAACTCTGAGGTTTTTCCAGGCCATGGGCTGGGGAGCTTGTGTTTGGAACAAAGGAAGCAGAGGCCACATGACAAGAGACTATAAAAGGCTGCTGCAGCTCATCCATCTTGTCTTCAATCCTGCTTCTGACCTCTGGAGGGACTTTGCTACAAACGGAAGCTCTGAACAAAGGACTGAGGACCCATCCCAGCTGGGGATGTTCCAGAGACTTGATTTGAACCTGCAGTTTATTCCATCACTGCTACAAACCTGAACCAAGAACTTTGCCATTCCTGTATGTAATTGATCCCATTTAACCAATTCTAGCTCTCATCTCTATCTTTTTCCTTTTATGAATAAACCTTTAGATTTTAGACTCTAAAGGATTGGCAACAGCGTGATTTGTGGGTAAGATCTGATTTGTATATTGACCTGGGTCTGGGGCTTGGTCCTTTGGGATCAGGAGAACCTTTTTCTTTTACTGGGGTATTGGTTTTCATAACCATTTGTCCCCATAACGAGTGGCACTGGTGGTGATACTGGGAAACTGGAGTGTCTAAGGGAATTGCTTGTGAGACTTGTGGGTTAGCCAGTGGGGTGAGACCGAAGTCCTCTTTGTCTGGCTGGTTTGGTGCCTTAGTGTGCAAAGGACCCCCAGCCTGGGGCTGTGACTGCCCTGCTCTCAGCAATCTGTCCTGAATTGATACTCTCAGAAGTGTCCCGCCAAAGGCAGCATCGTTACAGCCGCACAGCTCTCCTGTGCCACCTAAGTGCCTGGCAGGACGCTCCATTCAGGGTCAGAGCCCATGTTGGCACAAGCAACTGCCCACTTGTCCTTGGCCCCCCGAGTCCCCCTTTCTCTCCCCGGTCTGCAGGTCTCTGGGCACCTGTCAGGAGCCCAGCTATGGGGGAGGGCGTGGCTGAGTGGGGGTGCAAGGACACATGGGGACAGGGCAGATGTGCCTGACTGAATGGGAGAGGCTAGGGGTCAGCCAGGTCTGAATGGGGGAGGCTCCACAACAATCCCCATCCCCCCAAAAACCTGTTCCATTCTTCTTCCACCTACACCCAACAACCCTCCAGGTTTGCTCCCAGGCTCCTGTCCAGCAATTACTTCCCTCTCCCTCAGCTCGTCCGTTACCCCTGACTCCCTCAGCCTTTGCACTGCTTCTGAGGGGTGTGGGAAATCCGGTTCTGTATTGTAGTTTAAATGAATTATTACTCAGAATTCTGTATTAATATGCCTAGTAAATCTAATTTAAAATGCCTAGTATGAATCTATTTGTCAAAAATCATTTCCTGAATCTTTTTTGGTGTCTGTATTGTTACAGACATACTTGCTGACAGGTATTTTGAAATAAATGACCAAAAATAATTGAAACTGGTGTGATTATATTGTGTTATTTTGATAAATAACATATGCAGAATTTTAATATATTGTGCGCAGAATTTTTTTGCACAGAATTCCCTCAGGAGTAATAGACTCATTGACTGCCAGGCCAGAAGGGACCACTGCGGCCATCTCATCTAGGGTGACCAGATGTCCCTATTTTATAGGGACAGTCCCGATTTTTGGGTCTTTTTCTTATACAGGCTCCTGTTACCCCTCACCTCTGTCCCAATTTTTCACACTTGCTGTCTGGTCACCCTAATCTCATCTGAGCTCCTGAATAACACAGGCCAGAGCCTTTCCCCACTATAATTCCCAGAGCAGAGCTTTGAGGAAAACATCCCATTGTGACTGAAAAATGGCCAGCGATTGAAAATCCACAGCTCCTGGTAAACTGTTCCAATGGCTAATTAATTACTCTCACCATTAAAAATGTATACATTCTTTCCAGTCTGAATTCGTCTAGCTTCGACTTCCAGCCACTGGAATTAGACCTTCCTCTGCTAGACTGAAGCACCCACTATAAAATATTTGTTCCCATGTAGGTACTTACAGACTGGGCTCAGGTCACCAGAGCACCAATACGTTCCCGCTTGATGGCAGACAACCCCTCAACGTTCGGCTGGTGGACCGTAAGTGCCAGACCTACGACTAGGAAATCATCATCCGAAACCTGTTTGACCAAGATTCGTGGTAATCATCAAATTCAATCTGCTAGTTGCATCGTCTGTTTCTCCAGACCGCAGACAAGTTGCCACTGGGTACTTACAGGGGATGCGTCATGAACGCCGATCCATTGCCCCAGTAACGGGGCTGGCACCCACCTCTCATGAGCACCCCCTTTCTCTGGCTGACATGCCTGCAAACACAGGTCTTTTCAGAGGACAGCACCCACCTCTCGTGGACGGCCCCTTTCTCTCGGTTGGGTGTGAGCCTGCTTGTTTTTCCGTTCTTACACCAGGATGGCACCCCCCTCTCGCGAGCACCCCCCTGGCTGATGGTTCTCTCAGCGGGTCTTCAGCAGCTCAGCCCTCCGGCCGAGCCGCACACGCTGCTCCCCCTTCTGGGATAGACAGTCCAAGTTCTTATCTCGGCCCCGGTAGGGGGCCACAGCGCTAAGGCTTCTCCCAGGGGCACTGCCCAGCTGGGGCCCATCTCAGTACCCGCAGTTGGTGGTGTTTCAGCAGGCCCCACTGGGCTCAGTGGATGACCAGCCCAGCGGGGCCCATCTCGGTACCTCGTGGGCCTGGCCAAGTTCTGTGCTCAGTCCCCCGGGCGCAGCCTGCCTGCACTGACCTTCCGCTGGTCCTGCTGCTCTTCCCGCCAGCCAGGCACCCGGTCTTCAGCAGCCTTCCCTGGGCGTCAGTCC